GCATTTAGTTCACAGTTAATCAGACATTTTGAAAGCAAATTGGATAAAACACCATAATATGGTTGAAATCTGGTAACATTTTAATGTTTTTACTCTACTGTGAAAAGTTTTTTATATGACATACACACCCTAGTTTATTTTTGTGTCTTAGTGTGCATTTACAAATTTACTACAGGTATCCTGAGCCAGGAACACAATCAGGTTTCAGGCCAGTTTGATACTGGCTATTCTTAATTCTCATATGAGTGTAGGACTTAAGACTAAATGTTATGTCAGTGGGACTGTGCTGTCTGTGGAACTTAATAATCATTTTCTTCAGACTCGAAGGAGAGTGATAAATAAAATTTGGAGTCATAGGATATTGATGTACAATTTAAGGATTAAGACTTTTTATAAATCAATTGTGAACAATGGATTATTAAATTAAATGTTGACTTCCTAGTATAAAATTGCAAGAATAAAAGTAAGTTCTCCAGCTCTATTGACTAGTGTCTTGAATTTATCTTTTTGAATCCGCCTTATCTTGTTTTCTGAGAGTCCTCCTTCCTTTAGATAAGTATTAAAGCCTCCTACAGTTTGTCACATGGGTAATTTCACATGGTTTATGAACAGACTTTAGAGTTCTGTTCCCTGTGGAGAGTATCAGATAAGCTGGAAAGGGTGATTATAAAGTCAGCACCAATGACAAATATAGGTGGGCAGGAGAAGAAGTGAGAAAAAAGCTCTCCTCAGGTCTGAAGGAATTAAGGTCGGGCTTGCTTCGGAAGGGTGGAATGATTATGTATCAGTCATTAACTTAACGCTCATTTTTCCTTTAAGCTTATTTTTTTTAAATTCTATTTTAAAAATTAATCCATATACCTTGTAGTTTTGTTTTCAACCTCTTATTGTAAAAAATGTAAAGCAGCATATACAAGGATAGATAATAAAGGGTAAAGAACCCCACGTACTGTCACTCAGCTTTAGCATTCATGGCCAATTTCATTTAAACTCCCATCTACTTTCCCCAACATGCATATTATTTTGAAGGAAATTCAAGGTACATCATTTCATCCATAATTATTTCAGTATGTATTCCTAAAAGATAATTGCTTTTTTAAAAAAAACTGTAAAAATATTATTTACATAAAAAGAATTAAAATAATTTCATAATATCAAATATTCAGCATTCAAATTTTATGTCATAAATAGCATAAAAAATTGTTAAATAATTGTAGTCAGGATCTAAATAAGGACCACACATTGTAATTCATTGATAAATCCTTTAATCATGGATTCCTCCTTTATTTCATTTTTAAATTCCTCTTTTGGGTTTGCTTGTCCAGTTAAGAGTTTCTCATATGGATTTTGCTGACTGTTTACTTGAGATGCCATTTAACATGTTCCTTTCTCCTCTGTATTTTCTATAAATGGTCATTCAATCTAAAGGCTTTGTCAGGTTCATGTTCAATTTTTTTTTATAGACTACTATAAACAGTGTCTTCCATCAGGAGGCATATAATGGCTGATTGTCTCTTTCTGTGATTTAGCAGCCATTGATGATATGTATTATTTTTAAAAATCAAATATTACCATAGGCATACTGTCCAGTGATAGCCACTAGCCACATGTAGCTATTGAACACTCCAAATGTGGCTAGTCTGAATTTAGATATGCTATAAATGTACAAATACACGTTGGATTTCAGATACTTCTTACAAAACAAAAGAATGTAAAATATCTAATTCGTTTATAATTACATTTTTTAAATGATTTTTTAGATACATAAGAATTAAAAAACTATTAAAGTTAATTTCACCTCTTTTGCCTTTTTAAATGTAAGAAAATTAAAAACTGTATAATGGCTTGCATTATAATTCCATTGGACAGTGCTGTTGTAAGGCATAAGGAAAATGTGAGACCCGTGTTCTGTTCTCCCTACCTCTCATTTCTGCTCCTTAGAGCAACTTTTAGTCATTTCTCTGCTTTGTGTTACTTCCACATTTCCAAGTAACAAGCTTATAATTCTAGCTTTTATGGAGCACTTACTATGTGACATGTAAGTTCTAGGCTCTCCACATTATGAAGGCATTTAATTCTCAGAACAATCATTTTAGAGATGAGGAAACCCAAGAACAGAAAGTTAAGTAACTTATGCAATCATAGGTCAAGTAATTAGCAAGAGCTTCGATTCGATTCTAATTCTTAAAACCTTGGCAGCTGGGCTCATTCTCTTAAACATTTCACCAATCTACCTCCTCTGCTTACCCTCCAGTTTGTTTTTTCTTTACTGTTTCTTTTGAACTTTTTTCAATTGTAAATATTATCTATCAACCTCCTACTATGATAGTTTTGTGGTTAAGATTTGGTACTCTCACCGCTGAAGCCTGAGTTCCCAGTCAGGGAACCACACTACTCATCTGTCATTTGCCATACTCTGTGTTGCTGTGACATGAAAGCTATGTTGCCAGTATTTCAAATACCAGCAGGGTCACCCATGGTGGACAGGTTTGCACAGAGCTTCCAGACTAAGACAGACAAGGAAGAAGAACCTGGCCACCCACTTCTGAAAAAACTGCCCATGAAAACCCATGAAAGCAATGGAGCATTCGTCTGATCTAGCATTTGCCAGAAGATGATGGGATGGTGAAAAAAAGACCAGGCAGGGTTCCGCTCTCTTTGTTGTACACAGGGTGGCTAGGAGTCAGAATCCACTCAGTGACACTAACAAACTTCCTACTATGGAAGATGGAGATTTCACTTTCTCACAAATCTACCCCTATTCTCCCATGACCTCCCAACCTGGTTGGACTACTACTCTTATCATCCTCATGATTGTATAACTTTTGTTGAATTCATATTCAATATATATTAAGTATGCATAGATAGTGTTGTGTTCTGTAGAATACTATGGTTACATTTCCTTTCTGAATATTTTTGTCTTTCAGAACGTAGTAATTGCCTTGGTTGTAATTTGCTCAATTTACTTTGAGTTTTTATTAATCTATCACCAGAATCATTTGTATTTATTCATTTATTCCACAAATCACTCACAGGGAGACATTATTCCTTGAGTCCATCATCTTTTTGTTTAGGCATCAGGATATGGAGGATATACTTCTTTTTCTTTGCTTATTTATGCCTTTGTTTTAATGGAGTATATCCTCTAGTAGCTTCTTGTGAAAAGGTGTATTGGAGGTTCCTTTTTCTTTTAAGTAGCACCTTGTTCTTGTTTGAGAGTGCAATGTGTTTTCATCATTCTAAGGATATTAATTTAGGTTTTTTGGTTGTTTTAAAGTTTTCTTTGCTTCCTGCATTAACACTATCTCCTTGGTGTTCCTTTTTTCTGTTTGGTTTGGTCATAGTCTTTCAAGTTAGAATCTTGCTTTAATTGCTTCAGGATCCTTCATATTTGAGAGGCACAGAGAAAGCTAATTGGAAGGTCTCTGTGCTTGGGTAGGACTCTTCAGTGGTGGACTTCATTAGGGGAAGTAAGCAACAAAACTTCATTAGGCATCCCTCCTACCCCCAATCCTATTCTGAAGCTTTTTCTTTGGGATAGGTCAGTTTTTCTAGAGAGAAATCTTCCAGCTTTCTGTCTAAGGTGGTGTGAACTGGGCTGTCAGAGTTCTTGGAGACAAGTGAGGTCAGGGGGCGGGTATCTTGTTGTTCAGAGTTTCACTTTATCTTTCTGTTTTAAGTAAGAGATCTCACTGCCATTCCTGCCCCCAGATAGTTTAGCTGGAAGTTTCACTTGCCTTCTTTACCCATTAATGTTAAATGAGTGCAAATAGCAACCAAAATATCAACTGCCTATAGGCAAGTAATTATATGGTACTGATTCACACAGTAATAAAAACAGCATAATATAAATGTTTGACATGCATTATCGGATTTAATCTTCAAAACCGTACTATGAGGCAGAACTATTATTATCCCCAGGTGGATGCTCTTCAGCTAGATTCTACCGTAATAATAATTTATTAAAATTTCTCTCCTTTTTCCTTTTCCCTCCTTAGCCTTGCTCCTGGAGAAACTTGTAGCATTGAAAAGAGGTGGTGACAACATTACATTTTTGCATTAATAAATTGCTGTCCTTTTAGACACTGAAAAATAATTTTTACTGGATGGTGGGAGAAACATTCAATTTCCATTTATTTTTAATAATACGAGTTTCTCACAGGTTAGCTGCTGATCCTACCTCTGTCCAGTATTTTTTATGGAATATACTTACTGGCTAGCAAAAGGGTACATTATCACAGAGTCCAAGGGATCTCACTGAGATCATAAGGCAGGTAAGAAGGACCATGTAAATAACGAAACCTGGGACACTCGGATTAATCCAGAATTCAGGCTCTCCTCTGTTGCCACTTTTTCTAGGACATCTTCTATTCCATTATGAAAATAATCTATAGTACATACAGTATTTAGAAATGTAATCTGGCTATTCTACATTTCTAAAACTTGATCTGCCCTTGAATTATCAGAGTAAAAGTGATACTCTCCCATGATTGAAATAAAGCAGCCACTTGTTAAGTGATGTAGTAAATCGTATGCTATATTTTTACATTTTGAGGCATCTGTTACAGACCTTAGTAATGGTTTTACTCTTAAGAGTTTTATTGTAAAAGTCAATGCAATTTAAGATAGATAATTTGTTAAATTTTAGAATAACAAAATCATCTTTATAAGTTTGATCTAATATAGAAAATATTCTAATTAATTTACTAACCCTTTGCTGCTTCAAAAAGATGTAAATGAAGTTATATTTGGGTAAATAGGATACATTATTTATCATAAGGTTGTTTCTTTAAAAAAGTATCAGGAATCCAAAGGTATTATAATTGTAGAATCTGGTTTAAGTGTCTGCAAGTGGGGATATTAAGTTCTTATCCCATATATGCAAAAGGTAAAAATAATAAGTGTTTGTTTATCCACCAAACATGCTAAATAAAATGTTAATATTATTGTAAAGCCTCCAGTATTCTCGCCCCACAAAGGAAACCATTCTGAATTTGGTATTTATTATTCTCATAATTTATTTATAGTGTAATGTACATAAATATGTACTCTTATACTATATATGTACATATATAAATAAACTGAATTATTTTGCATGTCGTACCATATATGTTTCTGTAATTTTTTTCTCTAGACATTGTGAGTTATCCATGTTAATATGTGCACCTCAGTTTTTTTGTTTTTATTAATCCTTCTCATCAGCTGTGTCTAATCTGCTCTTAAACCCATCTACCGTCTACTAGGTTAATTTCAGTTATTGTTTTTGTTTGTTTGTTTTTTGGTTTTGGTGAGGAAGATTGGCCCTGAGCTAAATCTGTGCCAGTCTTTGTGGGACGCTGCCACAGCATGGCCTGATGAGCAGTGTATAGGTCTGTGCCTGGGATCCAAACCTGTGAACCCTGGGCCAATGAAGCAGAGCGTGCACACCCAACCACCATGCCACCAGGCCAGCCTCTGGTTATTGTATTTTTAAATTTTAGAAATTCTATTTGATACGTTTTGGTAGTTTCTATTCCTCTAATAAATTTTTCCACTTTGTCATCTAAGTTATTGAATATATAAATCAAAATTATTTTAAACTATGTCTGAAAACTCCAATATGTAGATCTGTGGATCTGCTTCTATTGTGTTTTCTTTATTCTCTTATTTTTCAGTAATGAGGTCCCATTTACTGCTATTTCTAGTGATTTTTTATAGAATTCTGAACATTATATATGAAAAACTGTAGGGATAATTTGTGGCTGTGGCTCAGAGTTCTGCAAACCATGCCCCATGGGCCAAATCCTGCCTACCACTGTTTTTGCCTGGCCTTTCAGCTATGAATGTTTGCTATATTTTTAAATGGTTGAAAAATAAAAGGATATTTTGCAACACATGAAACTTACATAAAATTTAAACCTAAGTGGCCATAAATGGTTTTATTGGAACGCAGCCACCATTCATTTGTTCACATGTTGTCTCTGGCTGCGTTTGTGCAACAGTAGTAGAGTTGAGTAGTTGCAACAGAGACCTTATGGCCCACAAACCTCAAGTATTTACTATTGCCAACCCCTGCTCTAGCTAGATAATGGGATCTTTCTCCAAGAAATGATGTACTTCTGGTAGGCCCTCAGAGTGTGAGAAAGATCACCTTAATTCATTCAGACGTTTAGTTGATTCAAAGCTGGTCTTATATGTTTATAAGGGTTGGTCAATTTCTGGTTCACCTCTACTCAGAGTATAGCTTTTCAGGGGGTCCAACTAAAAGCCTGGTGTGTTTACCCAGGCTCCTTACCCAGGCTGCTGTTCCTTGATGGGCCTAGTACTTCGGTGTGGGCCCACTCTCTACAGTTTCCATCTCTGTGAGATTGTAGCTCCTCAAATCCTCACTGCCTTAGTATATTTGCCCTGGTAATCCTTGTTTATATAAATATATAAACAAAATCTGCTTAAAGGCATGACAGAATTACTCAGGCAGCAAGGATTTGAAGAGCCATGGTCTCAGGGAGGAGGAAAGCCTCAGAGGATGAACCAACATTGAAAAGTGTGTGTGTGTGTAATATGTGTGTATATTTTCCAGCTTTTCTAGTTCTTGTAGGGAGTTTGCTCTGCTAGAAACTAGACTGACATTATCAGAAATGGGAGTTCAAGATGATCCCATCACGTCCCTATGCCAAATTCTCCAGTGGCTTAATATATCACTTAGGACAAATCAAGTCCTTGTAGTTACTTGCTAGGCCTTATATGATCCGAACAACTAACGTTAAGTGACACTAAAATCAGATGGGTCTGAAGAGGCAGACGGAAGAAAGCACAGATTTGTTTTACCATCAGTGCACTAACAAGTGTAGGACTTAACATTACAAGGAAATATATTCATGCTAGTGGGAGTCATTTACATTTAACTTTTTTTCTATTTTAATTGTTCTTTAATTGAGATAAATTATAGAAAAATGTATATTTTTGTGTTCAATGAATTTTGATAAATGTATATACCTATGTACTAATACCTCAGTCAACATATAGAGCATTTCCATCACCCTAGAAATTTACTTCTTGCCTTTTCCAGTTAATTTCCTTCCCTCCACAGAAGCAACCACTGTTCTGATTTCTACCCCCATACATCATATTAGTTTTTAAAATTGCAAATTATATCACTCCCCTTCTGGTCACAACACTACCATAAGTCTTTGGATGCTGTTAATGTATTTTCATTGTTCATATTTCACCTACTTTTCTGGATCCCAGATTCTTGGTGTTTTAAGGTCAAGTCTGTTAATCTACTGGTAGCTCTTCGATGAATAGAAGCTGTCCTAATACAAATGGTCACACGTTATGATTAGGTAATACAAGCAACCTGGTCTTTTGGAATACTATTGAACTATACTAAACTATTTAAAAATTAGAATATCAGCCCTTATATTTCCATGGCAAGTCACATACATTATTTCAATCCTCAATAGCCTTTGGAAGTAGGCAGGGAGAAATCTACAGTTGAGAAAAAGATTCAACAATTAATCGACTTATACACAATCCCCTTCCCAGTAGCCAATGCTAGGTGCCAGGGCTAGATTTTTATTCTTTTGCTCATTCCACTATAATAGGCTGCATGTACACAAGGAAGGAGCCAGCTTGTATTCCAAAATTCAATTTCTTTCTTTCTTCTCTGAACATTCATAGGTTGCCCATTCCTTCCATCCTCCAGCATAGTGTTGAGCACTGAAAACATAAATCAAATAGTTAGTACTATAGATATTTTCTCCTGCTTTATAACACAAGGTTGATAGGAACTTCAGAGATAAGAACTGTAGAGGTTTAGAGATGCAATGGCTACTCACCATACTATTTAGACTTTAAGCCTATTTAAAAGATTGTGTTACATTTGAGTAGGATGAAAAGGTAGAGGCTCTTAGTCTCGCTATCCTGCCATTACTAACATGGTAATTAGAAGAAATTTTTCAGTAGACTAATAAAAATGTAATACAATAGTCCCCCCTGATCCACAGTTTTGCTTTCTGTGGTTTCAGCTACCTGTAGTCAACTGTGATCCAAAAATATTAAATGGAAAATTGCAGAAATAATTCATAAGTTTTAAACTGTGAGCCATTCTGAATAGGGTGATGAAATCTTGCGCTGTCCCACCCAGGTCATCAGTGATCCCTTTGTCCAGCGTGTCCACGCTGTAAACGCTACCTGCCTGTTAGAAACTTAGTAGCCGTCTAGGTTATCAAATCGACTGTCATGATATCACAGTGCTTGTGTTCAAGTAACCCTTTTTTAAATTTTAATATAATAATGTAACCCTTTATTTTAATAATGGCCCCAAGCACAAGAGTAGTGATGCTGGCAATTCGGATAGGCCAAAGAGAAGCCATAAAGTACTTCCTTTAAGTGAAAAGGTGAAAGTTCTTGACTTAATAGAGAAATAAAAAGTCATATGCTGAGGCTGCTAAGATCTGCAGTAAGAATGAATCTTCTATCTGTGAAACTGTGAAGAAGGAAAGAGAAATTCATGCTAGTTTTGCTGTTGCACCTCAAACTACAAAAGTTAATGGCCACAGTGTGTGATAAGTGCTTAGTTGAGATGGAAAAGGCACTAAATTTGTGCGTGGAAGACAGGAACAGAAGATGGGTTCCAACTGACAGTAATGTGTTGTGCCAGGAAGCACTGAGCCCATACAAAGACTTCAGCAAGGGGTCCCCTGAAACGAGTCCACACCAAGCTGCTTATTGCAAGTAAGGGATGGATACACAGATTCAGGAATAGTTTTGCACTGAAAGATGCCACATTCACATATCTTTTATTACAGTATATTGTTATAACTGTTCAATTTTCCTATTAGTTATTGTTAATCACTTACTGTACCTAATTTATAAATTAAATTTTATCATAGGTATGTATGCATAGGAAATAAACAGTATATATAGGGCTCAGTACCATCCAGTTTTAGACATACACTGGGGGTCTCGGAACATATCCCCTGCGGATAAGGGGGGACTGCAGTACCTATGAAACATTGCGATACACATTCTTGAAGCCATTTTTATCCTTCATCTACGCACCTGCTAAAGCCCAGAGATATTGCTGTGTCCAGAGCCTTCTTGCTTCTCACTCCAGCTACACACGAAAACACTAGCCTGTCCGATCTGGACGGCTTTGCTTCGTTGTACTTCTCGTGGAAGGCTTTTGGGTTCATCTGGAGAGCTTCACTTACCTCAGCCACTGAAAGAAATGTTAAGAATTTCAATTAAACTTTATACAGTAAATTTTATTGAATAGATTTTTTTTAATGAATCAGTTTAAGACATGTGTCACTTACATGGTATATTGACAGACCCGGGGATTTTTCCATACTCAAGAATTTCCCATTTCTCTCTAACATCAATTAACATAATGCTTTTGGAATTCAACCGGTTTTTAAGTTCCTCGTAAGTGACATCTTCAGAAACAGCAGTACAAAAATTGTGGCAGCTTCCTTTTATTGACTTGACACCTGGAAAGAATAAAATAATTTAGGCATCTTCAAAATGCCAAATGGGCAGGCCGGCAGCACCGGGCAAGGAATGCAGCACCAAATTTATATAAAATCTAAGTTGCAGATGCCCAGTTCAGTCTGCTCCGTGCTTTTTTTCCTCTACCCATCTTTTCCACCTCATTTGCTAGTCAGAGGTGTTCTCACCCCTTGCTGTGTGTCCGTGTTCTCATAACATCGTTCTCCTTACTGGCACCAGAACACTTCAAAATGACATCGCTATCAATATCTGGAAAAGGTGGGTCAAAGGAAATTTTCCCCTGGTTCCAGCCAGCTAACTATAATTGACCTTTTTTTTTGACTTTGTGCCAGTGTCATATTCTACTCTCTCCAAGCCCCTTAATTGGAGGAAGCTTGTAAGTATACATTCAGCATTTGGTAACAGAATTGTGCAAATAATTTGTAAATCTTACCCTACTCCGAGTTACAATATAAAGAAAATTTTAATTTCATTTCCCCTTGCAAGAGAAGATAATAAGCCATGTTAGATGTAAGGACCTTACATCTGAAACTACCCTTGTAAGTCTTTTTTCTTTTGAGGAAGATGAGCCCTGAGCTAACATCTGCCACCAATCCTCCTCTTTTTGCTGAGGAAGACAGGCCCTAAGCTAACATCCGTGCCCATCTTCCTCTGCTTTATATGTGGAATGCCCACCACAGCACGGCTTGACAAGCGGTGCGTACAGGCACATGTGCGCACCTGGGATCCGAACCGGCGGACCCAGGGCCACCCAAGTGGAACGGCCGCACTTAACCGCTGAGCCACCAGGCTGGCCCCCGCCCTTATAAGTCCTTAATGGCACTGTTTCTATCTCTATTAAATAATTGAAAACATAATATGGTACTGGATAATAACTCATAAAATAAAATAAATCCACGAGTCCATACTGATGTAAGGATATAATCGAGTAAATAAATAAGTGGGAAGAAGGCATTATTTCAATTGATAAATGTAGAAGAAATGATGGAAACAAAATTATCATTAAGGAAACACCCCAGTAATAACTGTTGCAGGCAAGGACTATTGGTAGCTGCTAGATTTAGGGGGTGAAAATATGATGAGACACGGAATAGTATCTCCCCACCAGATACTTACTAATTACTAACTATCCAATGGAGTGGCAAGTGCTGCCAGCTTGAACCACTTGGAAAAAGATGGAAAACTGACTTTAGATGAGAAGCCTTTACTAAACATCCATTAAAGTTCTACCTGTTGTGAATCCAAAAAATAAAAAAATAACCAATCATTTAAGATCACTTCAGTAGCAATAAGATATGTTGACAACATGTACCCTCTAATATGATGCACTGAGCACAACAGTACTTCCCTAGCATTCTTGCCAAAAAGCATACCCTGAATCTAATCAGAAGATATGCTCACTCAATCTCTAAAATAACCAGCACTCTTAAAAGTGTCAAGGTCATGAAAGACAAAGACTGTGGAACTGTCACAGATTGAAGCAGACTAAAGAGACACGACAAGTGAATACAATGTAGGATCCTGGATTGGATGTAGGACTATAAAAGCCATCAGTGGGAAAACTGGTGAAATTTAAATAAGGTCTGTGGATTAGTTACTAGTGTTATATCAATATTAATTTCCTGGTTTCAATAATTATACCATGTAAGATGTTGACATTAGGGGAAGTTGGGTAAGTAAGAATAAAGGGAACAACATTTGCTTTTGCAACTTTCCTGTAGGTCTAAAATTATATTTTAAAAATTGAAAAAAACCTGAAAAGATTTTAAAAATAAAAGCAAAACCAAGTTATTAATGTTCGTATTTCACAACAAAATGACCACTATGATAATGCTTCAAAATTTGTTTAAAATATTAAATATATTATAAAGTGAAATTGGTTTAAACCGTGTAAAACTGGTATAGGAAAAGATTTATGGGACCACAATATACCATCCATGAGAATTCAGTATGTGGTAACAGTGATATTTCAGATTAATGGGGAAATTATATTTTATTCAATAAATATGTAGGGCAACAGCTTGCCATCAGGAAGAAACTTTAAGCAGATTATTACCTCATTCCTTACATGTAAATAAATTTAAATTTAAACCTAAAAGTTAATAACTTAAAATAATAGAAAACAAGAGCAGATTATTTAAATTTGGGGATGAGAAGGCCATTCTAAACACAATACAAAAACTCAGAAGTCATAAAGATTTGACCTCATTAAAAATACTAAATTTATATATGGGAAAACCACAGTGAACAATCAGAAAACAAGTGGCAGGCAGGAAGAAGATATTTGTAAAATAGAAACAACAAAAGATGAGTATCAATAAAATAGAGCTCATACAAATAAATAGGAAAAGGACAAAAATCTCAATAGAATAATGGTCAAAACAAGAACAGGGAATCGACATTAGAAATACAAATGGCCAATAAAATGTGAAAAGACGTCCAATGCCCAATCTCACCACTTATTAAGGAAATGCAAGATTTAAACAAAACTTTAGAATTTTGTCAGATTTGTAAATATTAAAAGGATTGATAATATTGGTGAGGATATGAGAACATTGGTACTCACACATTATTAGGAGTGCGTAATGTTAAAACCTTTTGAAAGGGAAATTTAGCAGTAGTAACTTTTTAAGTATGTATATCTTTTTTACCTCACAATTTTAGGAATTATCCTACAGGAGTATTAGCATGAATACATACAAATGTATACATGTATAAATACATTATTTGGCAGCAGTCTCTGTAATATTGAAAAATGGAAATTAGCTGGAAGCTTATCAGTAAGGGAATGGTTATATTACAAGTGGTACATTTATACAATGGAATATTATTTAATGTAAGTTGTCCAAAATATAGTATTAAATTTAAAAAAATTATTGGAGAACACTGTGTATAAGCCAGACATTCCCAAACTTTCTTGGTTCACGATGCCTTTAATGTCTTAGTAAATTTTTTGCAGTGCCCATAGGCCAAAATAAATGCCTAGCGGTTCCATTTATTAAGCAGTTAAGAAAAGCCAAAAGTAAGTTCGAAAAAACATATCTTCTTGTAAAAACCATACACTTTAATATTTTCATTTGTCTTTCTCACTGAAAGCAAAAATGAACATGTACCTATAATAGTTTAAAAATACAGGTTTCCCAGGCATTCCACTCTATGGTATGTACCCCCAAAAAATTGAAAACAGGGACTCAACCAGATTCTTGTACACCGATGCTCATAGCAGCATTATTCACAATAGCCAAAAGGTGGTAACAACCTGAGTGTTCATCAAGAGAGGAATGGATACACAAAATGTGGCATATACATACAATGGGATATTATTCAGTCATACAAAGGGATGAAGTTCAGACACATACTACAACATGAAATTACAACACTGAAAACATTATGCTAAGTGAAATAATCCAGACACAAATGGACAAATATATTATGATTCCACTTATGTGAAATGTCTAGAATAGATACATTCACAGAAACAGAAAGTAGGGTAGAGGTTACCAGTGGTTGGAGGGAGGCGGGATGGGGAGTTATTGCTTAATGAGTACGGAGCTTCTGTTGGGGTGATGAGAATTTTTGAAATAGATAGTGGTGATGGTTGCACAACATTGTGAATATAATTAATGCCAGTGAATTATACACTCAAAACTGGTTAAAATGGTGAATTTTATGTTATACATATTTTACCACAATAAATAAATTTAAAAAATAATACAGGCTTCCTCTTCCTCTTCAGATTTTGAAAGTTGGTGCATTTTTGTCTACAACATTAGATCTTAAAACACCTGGAATCAAATTATTTCTCATTCAACTAGCTGTTTTGTGAATTCCCAGAAAATAAAGGGCCAGCAGCTGAATTTCACACTTGTTGCTGTTCCACATTGTTAGCAATAGGGACACTACGGTAACTTGAAAAATTAGGTTAAACTCAAGACTGTGGCACTTAGCCATTGGGAAACACAATCACAGCATGTAAGCTGTGTAACTGAATCAAAGATAGCTAAGGTTTTCTTGCATAGTGGACTCATATCAAACTGACTTTTAACCTTCTCTAATTCAGTTATACTCCTCTTGGGGTAGGGAGAGAACACGGTGTGTGATCCATCAGTGAAGACTAGATTTCCAGCCTTTCCCCTGAGCAAAAACCTGAAGCAAGTATGTTCCCTTAATGAGTCAGCTCTCCCAAGCCTCTTAGTGTATGAGCCTCTACTCCTCGCTCATTTTTCATTTAAAGCAATAGTGCATTTTTTTGTACAACATGGCCTCCATGCACTTGTAAATCAGCCACTTCTCAATCAAAGAAACTCTGATCTGTTCCCACACTGAAGAAAAACTGGCTGTTTTTATTGAGAGATGATGTGTGGTTCTCTGGGGCAATTTTCATGAGTCATGCAGACTATGCCTGATTTTCGGCTTTTTGAACCTAATCTTTGAACAAACTCCAATTTTGCTCTTTCCAACTGGTGAATCTAGCCTCACCTGGGTACTCCCTTCAGCCTACATTACAGGGTAGAGTCCAAGCTCCTTAGTATGTAAATAATGCCCTTCATTCCACCTTACCCGGTAACTTACCAAACCTTCTCCTCCGTCACATTCCTCCACTGCCCCAATTACTCTACCCTCCAGCCTGATCAAAAGTATGCATGTGCTCAAACTACATTTTTATGGTTGAAACAGCAGAAATTTCAGAGTCAGATAAACCAGGTTCAAATCCTGGCTGCCCACTTAGTGCTGCAACCCTGGGCAGATCACTCGAACTCTCTGGGACTTAAGTTTCTTATTTGTAAAATGGGAATAATGTTATTTAACCTTTAAAGTTGCTGTGAGGTTTAAATAATCCATACAGTACAATGAATAAATATTTATTTCTGCCTTTCCGTCATGATTTATGCACACCATTCCTTCTAGAAGGAATATCTTTCTCTCTCCTTTCTACCTGGCACATTCTTACTCTCCTTTAAGACCCAGTTAAATGTCACTTGTCACCCCTTTGATTCAACAATTCCACTTCCAGGTATCTATTCTAGTAAAATACTTGTACAAACACACAAAGAGGCATGTACCATGATAATTATGGAAGAACTTTTTTTATAGGAGCAAAAAATCGGAAACCAAAATATCCATCAATAGGGGACTGTCTAAATAAACTGTAGACACCCATATTATGGAATGTATGCAGTGGTTAAAAGCGTTAAAAATGCTGCCATGGAAAGCCTCTGAATACCTAAGGGAGAAAAAATTACAGTAAAGTGTGCACAGTAGGTCACATTATATACATATGATTTATAATATAAATTTATATTATATATATAACATACAGATTATATATGTAGTATTTTTATGTCTACATTTCTTTCTGTATACTCATGGAAAATTGTTTAGAAGGATGTGTACCAAACCACATCCAGGGAGGAGAGCGGCATGGGGAGGGTGTATAAAGAGGGACTTACACTGTGCTTCATTGTTTGTTTTAATGTAATGAGAATATAATCATGTATTACTGGTAGACCTTTTTAAATGAAAAAGGCACCTTTTCTCTAACATTTTCTGCAACTCAGGTAGAGCCAGTTCTTTCCACTGCAGTCTCACTCGACTGGGCTGTCTGTGGTGATTATTTCCTTTGTGTCTGTCTCCCCCCAAAATGGTTGAGCGAACTGCAGCGGCTGTATCCCCACAAGAGGCCTGGCAGATTAGATGCTCAAGAAATGACTGTAGTATAAAGGAAAAACCAATTTGCATTGGTTAAGATGTGCATAGAAAAGCACATCTTAAACTACAGAGTATGTACCAACAGTTAAAACGGAATAAAAACTGGAAGAAGTGGTGCAGAGTGTTACGCCCGGGCCCATGTCCACGCACCCAAAAATAAAAGTTGTTGCTAAAGGAGAGGCAGCACGTAAAGCAAAGAGAAGGGACTGAGACCTGCTCTGAGTTCTAGATCTAATGCTTCCACTAACCACCTTCACTTCTCTGGCTTCTGCTTCCGTCTGTAAAGTCAGGGGCGGTACTTTTCTGGCTCTAACGTTGTAATTCTACGTGACTGCTCCGTCAAGCTATGAGCCATGCTCTCTCGTCGGTGACATGTGTAACTCACAAGCCTGGGCTACTCATTGTGGCTCTCCCAGGCCGGAACTGGCCATCTGGCTCGTTTTTCCGAGTCCCGAATTGACCTTCATGGCTCAGTCAAGCATCAATACCCTTATACAAGCCTTCCCACGCGAGCTCCCATGAGCAATGTTTACCTCTCTCCCTGCGTCCCCGAGGGCAGCCCCAGACCCCAGTAGTTTGGGATCTGCAGGAACAAGAACTGCAAATAGGTGTTACAACCCCACGTACCAAGAGTAATGGATCTGACTCTTAAGTGGAAGCCTAAAGAATCGAGCAACCCCAATGCCATCCCTTCCCCGGTGTTCCAGGTTAGGTGCTCTTCCTTTCCCCAGGGACCACCGAGCTCACCCCAGAGCGCAGAGTCGGCGGACCCGAGGATCGCCCAGCGCGCACTCCACAGCAGCAGCCGCAGCGGCACCATCGCCAGCTAGCTCGCGCCCGTCGGCCACTGACCACTTCCTCCTCCGGCCCGTCTTCCTCCTCCTCCGGCCGCCGGGCCAGCCGCGCCGGGCTCTTGAGCGCCCTCCAGCCAGGCGCCGGCCGGACCGGGTAGTGCCACAAGGCGGAATCGCTGACCAAAAGGAGCCCTGCTTCATAGCAAAATCATTTGGAAAGAAACTAAGGGCTGGGCTTGCCTTTTTGGTTTTATTATTTTTTCATGGAGAGACAAAGTTTAAAAGTGGAAAGTAGAATATATACCAAATACAATATTTAAAGATTTAAAGTAAATACATTTCTCTAATTTACTTTATAAGAGGATTCTCAGATTGGATTAAGGCAAACTACATGGACGTTTTTCTGACTTGCTCTTAACTTCAGTAGCTGGTTCAGTTGATGTCAGCATTAAGATAATCTCGTGCTTTCATCTTTTCTCCTCAACTTGATATTTGTGTATACGATGATAGCTTTGTCAGGGTTAGGTCCAACTATTTTATAAAATATGTTGGATTCCAATTGCTACTGTAACAAATTACCACAAATTTAGTGGTTTAAAACAGTACAAGTTTATTATGTACAGTTCTGTAGGTCAGAAGTCTCACTTGGCTAGAATTAAGGTGTCAGCAAGCCTGTGTTCCTTTTGAAGGCTCTATGGGAGAATTTCTTTACTTACCTTTTGCGTCTACTAGAGGCTGCCTGCATTCCTTGGCTAGCGGCCGTTTTCCCCATCTTCAGAGCGAGCAGTTTAGTATCTTGAAAGCTTTCTCCAACTCTGACTTCTGCTTCTGTTGTCATATCTCCTTCTCTTTCTCTGACCCTTCCATCTTCCTTTTATAAGGACTTTTGTGGCTACATTGGGACCGCTCGGATAATTCAGGATAATCTCTCTATCTTAAGATCCTTAATTTAATCATATCTGCAAAGTCCTTTTGCCATGTAAGGTATCATATTCCCAGGTTCTGAGAATTAGAACATCTTTTTTGGAGGGCATTATTCAGCCTACCACATAAAGTTTCTTATTACCTTGTTTTTAATTTATTCTTGACTTAGTTCCCAAGTATAATGAAAGCTGTATTCAACCACATATTGATTCACAGTGAAAAATTAAAAATTAATTTCTAAATGGCATTATTAAAGTATGTGTCCAAGGAAAAATTTCATTAAGCAGTTTTCCATAATTTAATAAAATCACTTCAGATTTCCATATCAATGACATTACTTACAACTGTTTTTCCAAATCATGTGGAGCTTAACCACATCTCTGTGTAATTTCTTTTGTAGATTAACTTTGAACTAAGATGTCATTATATATTGTAGATTCCTGTAGTCTCCATGGCATCCCCAAACTGTTCAGAATATGCCTCATGAACCACAGGTAGTATGGACACTCATATGCAGACAACATACTTAGCCTCAATGAATCACATTTAATCTGATTTACACTTTTGCAAGAGCGTGTGTTACTAAACAATTCTTTTTCCAATGTTCATGACTAAGTGCTTGAGAGATATGTTTCTGTGGGATTTTTCCTTTTTCTGAAAAGACGACTGTGTCCTCCCATACCTAGCACAATGCCAAACTTGGTTAATTTGAGAGTCCTTAGAGCAAAAAAGACCTTGTCGAAAGAGAGTCTTCATCACTGCTCCTTGGACAAGCGTCCAAGTTCTTCCTTCAGAGAGAGTCAGCAAGGCTTACAGTGGGACCAAAGGGAGAGAAATAGTTTAACTCCTCTGGGGAAGTTCTACTAGTGCTGAGTTGATAGGAATCATTAATTCTCAAACAACTCATTTTATTTTTTGCCATAATGCCAGTGAAAGGCAATTGGAAAGAGGAGACCTATCCCATTTCTTTCTAAATCCACTTTAAGCCCCCAGATATTAGAGAAATCAAATGAAGAATTAGGAAATATATTGCCTTTCATGCAACTTTTTTTCAAAAGACTTTCTATCAAAATTTAAAATGAATGTCTGTTGACTCGGCATTTCCACTGGTAATAGTCCATCTGCTGAAAATATTTGCACAGGTACGCAGAGATAAATGCCACACAAACAGGGGACTGATTGGGAAAAAAGGATACATCCATTCACGCCAGTCCTAAACAACTAGTGAAGAGAATGAGGCTAATGTGGAGGTATGTCCAAGGCGTACGAAGCAAAAAAATCAAGCTATAGAATAGAATGTAGACTGTAATCTAATCTGTGTTCCCTTTTAGCAAAACGTAATCATATGAGAATATGGTACAAATTCATATTGCATGTGCAAAGAAAAAAGACATGCAAACTTGAGCAAATCTAAATAACTTGCATACTAAGTTGTATTGCAGTAAAAGGTTTTTTTTTTTAAATGTATCACATATTGGAATCCAATTTATGGTAAAAAAAAAAAGGAGAGGATTGAATTAGAATATGGAAATTTAGGTTCTCTTCCTCATAAAAAAAAATTTAGGAACCATGCAATGCTGAAATTTTTCTTGAAAATGACAAAATTCCGGCGCTATCTTCATTTCCAGCAGATGTACCCTTAGCATGAACAAAATCTCCAGAGATGGCAATGTCCATTGCAAAACCTGGCTTAAGTTAGGGAAAACTGTCTAGCACTAAGTTTTTATTTCTGATATTCTTCAAATTTTTTATCTTTTCACTTAATTGAAAGTAAAATTTACTATTTGATGGATTCTTCAAAGGAAGGAAATAATTTTTAAATGGTATCCAGTATGTATATTTTTAATATTATTTAATGTTTAATGTTTAATATTATTGCAAAAACATTTGACAAAATATCAAATGAAAATACAAATTTGCTTACGATCAGCTGTGTATATATTTCAAATAATGCTAAATGTCTTAATTTTACCATCATTGTTCTGCCAGGAAATGTATGGAATACTTTGCTAAGCTGTAGGCTATATATATATCTCTTTTAAATTTTTATCCTGTATTTTTTAAGATACACTGTTTACTGTAAAAGTAATTGATATCTTTTGACTCGTAATCCAGGGGTCTATCCATAGGGTCACACCTGTCCGCTGGCTGAAGAGTTGTGAAACATCGCACCACTTGCAGCGCTTATCCGTAACTAGTGTTGCTTGCGATCTCATCAAACAAAATATTCTCAAATCAACTGCTTTCACTGAACATTTGCAACGTGAAGACCAGTTTAACAGATAATTGAGCTTCGAAGAGGTATAGGTGTAGGTCAAGAAATTTCCTATCTAGTAAGGAAGTGAGAACGACAAGTAAGACAACAGTATTGAAAAAATGAAAGGTAATACATGATGAACACCAGATGTGACTTTATTGAGTGTGGGGAAAGGGAGGAAAGTGGGAAGCTGTCCCGCCAGGCGCCCAGCAACAAGTGGGACTTAATCTCGACTCTGGGAAGACCTGAGCTGCGCACTCCAGGCCACTCCTCGGATCCAATTTGGAGTCCATTGCTATCATTCTAACACGAGCAGGGGCCTATCCAGATCTGCCAAAGTAGATAACGCAGGCGCGCCGCGGGCCGGCCCCGCCCCGTCCACGCCCCACTCCCAGGAGCGCGGCCCCGCGGGGGGTGGTCCTGAACCCGCCAGGACTTGGGGGCGGGCCACGAGGCCCCGCCCATGCCGCCCCGGGACGGCCGCGCAGGCGCAGTCGCTTCTGGTTGTAGACGCGGCGGCCCGGCCCGGCCCGGCCCGGCGGGGTGAGTCGGGGGTTCGCTGCTGGGGTCGCCGCAGAGTCTCCTGCTTCGTTACCGCGAGCCTGGCCCCTTGTGGCGTGACAAACCAGGGAGAGAGGCTCCCTACGCCCCCTCGCCTTCCCGATCCCTGGGGGCGCCGGGCGCTCACCGAGGGCCGCGTGAGCGCGACCGGGGCGGCCCGGTGCCTGATCGGCGGCGGGAGGAGCCGGGGTTGTCGCGGCGGGAAAGGGGACGCCGGGGAGGGGCCCGGGTCCGCCTCATCGTGACCGAGGCGCGGCGGCCCGACACCCTCTGGTGCTGTCTCCTTGCAACTCGTTTTCTCTTCCGAACCTTTGGATGTTTTTGTCAGTGACGGAAGGAAGCGTGTTCTGGCAGCATCGCGTACTTTTAGGTGCTTTGGAGGTCCCAATCCCCATCCACCACTCACTGGCTCCGGGACCTCTGCAAGTCACTTAACCTCTGTGTGTCTCAGTTTCTTCAAGGGTAAAGTGGGGAAAATAATAGTAACCTGTCTCATAAGACGGTTTGAGGATTAAGTGAGTTGGTGTCTTTAAAGTGCTTAGAACCGAGCGTCAGGCACAGCAAAAGTATGTAAGTGCTGTTCATCTTTTTGAGCCCGGCGTTTACAAGGAGAGTTGTGTCCCTCTCCTACCTCCGCCGAAAATAATTCTCAGGAGTCCAAGAGTAGGAGAAAAATACTTTTTCTTTTTTGAGAATATGGGCTTTTGTTTGCATAGTATGTTTAAAAAAAATTAAACATTTCCAAGCAACTTAGTTGCACATCCTGCGTTAGAGAAAAGACATGGTAGAGTAATGCTGAAGTTGAAAATGGAAAAGTTTTGTTTGGGAAACCACGTGAGAAAAATGACCAGAACTTATTTGTGCTGAAAAGGGTTCACATGGGGTCTGAGACTGCTATCCTTAGAAAGGTCAGTTTGCAAGGTTAACCTTTGTTTGGCATCTGGGAACAATATTGTTTATACCAAAGTTACCAGCCGACATCAAAATCCTGGGCCTGGGAGTCTAATGGGCTTCCCTGGGCAGAAAGGTCGCACAGACATTGCTGGATTTTCCTTATTGGGGGAAGAGTGTGCTCTATGTGACCCCTCCTGGGAGGGAGAGAATATAAGGAAGCCTGGGTATGGGTTCCTCCATGGTTTGCCTGTTTCTTTGTCCATTATGGTCAGGCTCTATGTCCATACTACATTGCTGTGATAAACGTTAGCCACGGAGTAGAACTATATGCTGAGTCCTGATGAATCTCCAAATGTAAACTGGTCTTGGAACCCCCTAGACACAATATTGATGATAGAAAGTATTTGAAGCTCTAATAATTGGACTGTTATTTTGTCCTTTTTGGCCTTAAAGGGGAATTGAAAAAGAAAACTGTCCAGATAAGTGATTGCTAGGTGGTGGGTTACTGTCCAA